AGTAAGTAAAAATATTTCACAATATTACTGCTTTTGCTGTATTTTGGATCAAATAAATGCAGGCTTGGTGAGCAGAAGAGAATTCTTTAAAAAACATAAAAAATCTTACGGTTCAAAAAACTTTTGACTGTTACTGTGTGTGTGTGTGTGTGTGTGTGTGTGTGTGTGTGTGTAATCTTTTTATACATTTGTAACCCTCCAGCAGAGTAGTCTGCCTCAGGACTGTGTTCATTTCTCTTCATATTGTCCAAATTGCAAATCACAGTATCCAGAAGGCAGCTGATAAGAGCTCATATCCTAATCAATCAGCATGTGTCCCTGCTCCGTCTTTATTCTCTCCAAATGAAGAATTGCCGTGGCGACGAGTGCTCGTATGACCTGCCCGTTCTGTGTGGTACTGATTTTTGTTCTCGGCTGGCGAGCTGGTGAATACATCTGACGGTCCGTTTCCTGAGGGCCCTGCTCACTGCATTCTTCCCCCTGCGTTTATCATAATACCTGCCTGTTATTCTTCGTCTCTAGTCATTCGTTTTCTTCATGTTTATCAACCTTTGGTGTGTTTTGGCACTATGGGTTTTGGTCTGAAGTCCGTTTGACGTTAGATTTCAGTTTGTTTGGTTGATGTGAAAGCTGTTTTGGTGCACACACACACCACACTCCAGTCTGCTTAAAAATGGAGGCCTGGGTTTGCAATTGTTATTTAAACTGCTAAACTGACACCATTTAGACATTTCTTTAGTGGATAGTTAAAATATGTACTAATTAATACTTTTGTGTAAGTTGAAGCTACGTCCACATTCATACTGATAAATTTGAGAATTTATTTTTCTTCTGTTTTGCCTTTCCGTCCACACTAAAACGGCTCAGGTGCCGTGTGAATAGATAAGGTAACACTTTACAATAAAGTCTCATTTGTTAACATTAGTTAATGTGAACATGTTAGTTCACAGTGTAAATATAAATGTAGAAATTACCATTAACTAAGATCAATAAATGCTGTGGAAATATTGTTCATTTTTAGTTCAATTTAACTAATGTAGTTCTTCAGTCTTCATATTACATTCCAAAGATGTCAAATAAATTTACTAGCAATTGATGTTTCATGGCAATTAATTGATTAATAGATTTTTTAGGCCATACATGGAGTTATGATTTTTTTGTTCTACATGGACACACCAGTGATATTTTGGGTGGGCTATTTTGCTAATGAAATACTAATGCCAGAGAAATGGCGAGAGAACTTTATTAAGTCTGGTCTCTGTCATCTCAGTGAGATTTTATAATGGACGAGCAACTTTTGGAAACTGCTAGTGTGTGTTATGAAATGAAAACACAATTTTTGAATTTACTCTGATTAATGTGGACATAGCCTAAAAGTCTGAATCACAGACAATAAAATATAACCATAACAGGCATTTGAAAGGTAGTCAAATAAAATAATGAATGCATGACACTTTTAATGTAACTTCATATAGCAACCATAAAAAAGTTTGAAATCTTTTAGTTTGACATAAAGTGCCTGTATTTGAAGAATTTTCCAGACGCTGTTTATGTAGCCCTTCTATCTTTATTTGGTCAGGATAAGGACTTCGGAAAGCAGACGTTGCATAAAGGTCACGCTAACCCGCTAGCTGAGGTCACCACCAGTCTGAAGACGTACCAGCATTTCACGCTGGAGAAGGCCTATCTGGGAGAGGATTTCTTCTGGGCGTTCACACCTGTGGCGGGAGACTTCATACGCATCCGCTTCTTCACACCTGTCCGAGTAGAGAGGTACATACAGTCAGAGATTCTCAGATAATACCGCAGGATTACGCCTTCATGAATACCAACAATGCTTTCACAAACAAACAGTAGACTCAATGATTATGCTGCCCTCTAAGATGCCATCTTTTAGCCAGAAAGACAGCACTGAATATGTCCTGTGCAGAGAAGACAGTCCCAGAGTGCCTTGCGATGAGATCACTTGAGAACTTCCTTCAGTTCAGATCATTCAGTATGTAGCTATCAAAAAGCATCAACAGTCCAGTTTAATCTGAAAATCATACCTGGTGTTTGTGTCTCCATACTGGAAGGTGATTTTCAGGCTGGTAACTGTGTTTTGGAAGATGATGGCTGGTTTCCAGCTGGTCTTAATATCATTAGCTGGTGGAAGGTAGTAGATGGGGATTGTGAGTTGATCGAAAACTAATAATGAATTATATTGAATGTAAAATTCAAATAAATAAATGGCGCTGCACGATAATTCTGATAATACCTTATTGCGATTATCAAATCAAATGCTGCAATTTAATTAAATAACTGTATAGTGCAGAGGTGTAAAGATCACCTGAAAACCACATTTAAATTCAAGTAGAGATACCTTACAGAGAAAACGACTCCATTGCAAGTTACAACTCACCAAATCCAGTACTACTTGAGGAAAAGTCATATAGAGTATCTGACTTTAACAGTACTTAAGTATTTTACTCGAACTGAATTTAGGCTCAAAGAAGCACTAGTCCTCAACACCTATTCAACACCGATATTCACGTTAAAAATGCTCAATTAAATGGTCAAATCCTCTTTGCACTGGACGTGCTGGTTTCTGCCTCGTCACTGTCCGCAGCCATGCCCTATAAAACACCTGTGATTCAGCAACTAGCTGCTAATGCACTCACAGTCATGTAAAGTTGCCTCGTTGACAAGTTTGGGTGCGCACAAGATCTCGTACCTTCAATAAACTGCTGTAGAAAAAGTTAGCTGTCATGCACCTCATGGAGTAAAGAGTACATGTTATACTTATTCAAAAGAGTAGTCAAGTAGAGAGTAAAAGTTGCTAATGTCTTTGACACTCAGCCAAATTTCAAAGTAGCCAAAAAGTACAGTAACTAATTACATTTACTCAAATATGTTACACTGTGTTCATTTACACGCGAGCAGCTCTTGATCCAGTGTTTTTAGCGTCTCAGTTCACAGTAAATACAGAGACCATCTCTGCATGTGCTGCGTGTTTAACATGCATTTGACAACGCAACATGCGCTAAATTCACTAAATTACACGTTTGATTAAATAGCAACATTTGGTGTACAGAAGTTTACAGCATTTTACCAATATTCTGCTCAAATAAAAGCTTGAGTATTTAAAGACATAAATATTAGCATTGTAACTTGTATTATAATTATCAGTTATACTATTATTATAATTATCAGTTATTAATTTTTAATTTAACAGTACAATTGTCATTTACAGTTATATACAGTATTTCTGTCTTCATTTTTATAATTATAAAATAATTATAAATATTTAAAACATAATTATTATTGTTGTTATTTTTAGTATTCAATTTGATTGTCGTCTTAAAACACTAGTGTGAATGTAAAGTGGACCGAGACACTATCACAATTAAAATCTTACTGAAAACTAATTTATTTGTTTACTTGAATGTCATGTGACCATTAACCAACATCAGAGAATTGTGAATGTGTCATTAAATTATTGAAATATTAACGTAAATTCTTAAGGGGACAAAAAAAAGTTTGGGTGTCTCAAACAAGTCAGTTATGAGGTTTCATATGTTTACCTTGGAAGGTTGCAGTCAATGAATGAAGCAGAAAACATGTAGTCTGTTTTATAATAGAGCTCGTCTCGCAGTCTTTCCCATCACATATTTCAGGCTTAATTGAGAGCTAATAGTGCTCAGTCTGAATGAGAGCTTTTGACGTTCACTCACTGGCTTCCTTCATGCTACAGGAGTCACAGTTTAACAAGCGCAGGTGTTCTTTTACACTGTACACATGTATTTATAGAGAGAAATCTGCCAGTGTCTGTGATTGCTCATGCTTCAGTGATCCATAGAGGAGAAAGAAAATTGTTTTTGGACACTTAAATATGTATGAAAGTCATTGCATTAGATGACATTTTATCAGGTGGCATCTGTGCTCAAATGCTACTGGTGTTTTTTGAGCTGTATTTGTAGATACTTTTATTCAGATTTTAATGTAACAACAGAATGAAGATATTGCATTAAGGTTTCACAAGCACAAAGTTATACACAACATCTGTTGATTTATCATTTCAAATGTACGTATGAAAAGTATGTTTGTCATTCTTTATATTTTCCATAATTCAAAAACATTCAGACATTTATAGTGTGACACTACCATTCAGAAGTGTGGGCTCAGTAAGAATTCTTTTAAGAAATTAATTATTTTATTTAGCAAGAATGCGTTAAATTGATCAAAAGTAGCAATAAAAGCATTTATAATGTTGCAAGATTTCTATTTCAAATCATTGTTATTGTTCTTTCTATTTATCAAAGAATCCTTTAAAAAGTGATGGTTTCCACATTGATAATCAGAAATGTTTCTTGAGCAGCAGATCAGCATATTAGAATGTTTTCTGAAGATCATGTGACACTGAAGACTGGAATAATGATGCTGGAAATTCAGCTTTGCATCACAGGAATAAATTCTGTTTTAAAGTATATTACAATAGAAAATAGGTATTTTAAATTGTGATATATTTTACAATATTACTGTTTTTACTGTATTTTTGATCAAATAAATACAGCCTTTGTGAGCATAAGAGACTTCTTTCAAAAACATTTTAAAAATCTTACCGACCCCAAACTTTTGAACGGTAGTGTAAGTGTCTAAATACTTTTTGGGGCCACTGTGTGCTGCAGGGTCTATAAATAACTACATGATAAGATGATACATGAGGAAACATATGCGGTATAGTTCTTTTGCGTTGTACTCCTTATGGAATTGATAAGATTGATAGTTTGGATGATGTGTTTGTGTTTGTGTGTGTTTGTGTGTGTGTGTGTGTGTGTGTGTGTAGGTATTTCTTCCGCAGTGGAAACATCGAGCACCCTGGAGACAAGCTCTTCAACACTACGGTGGAGGTTCTTCCTTTTGACGTGAGTCTCTGTCATTGTGTGCAGATGAACACTAGCAGTGTGTTTGTTGAAGGATCGCTGCTGTTTGTTTGTGTGTTTCCCTCTGGGCTTCACTGCAGCCTCCATAAACACCCCACAGATCTGTGCTGAAACACTGTCTCAGCAAGCTCAAGACTTCAGTCAGTGTTGAAAATATACTGCCGTCACAAACACTTTTTGGCATGGTTTCTGTTTGAGCAGAAGTCAAGAGCTGAATCTATCATAGATGGCTTAGAACCTATTTAAATGTGCAGCATCACTATTATTATTGCCCGTATTTAGGGTTAAGGGTTTGTTCAATTCCTGTTAAACATGCCGTGTAACTTGTGCCACACTACAGACATGACTTATATCTCAAATCATGCTTGCGGGTGGATAACATCATTGCAACCACAGAGAGCACCATAGCTCGATTTTTTTTAAAGGTCCGATTTCCTCTTGCGATGTTCTTCTTAGTTCTTCGCTCAGGAGTAAACAGAAGTTAGAAAGAGCAGAGCAACTGTTACTAAAGATTTCCATTTCAAATAAATGCTGTCTATTCAGCCAAAATATTCAGCAAATATTATGTAATCATCATGGACCAGTGGCAGTTCCGAGGTGGCGTGAAGTTTCAACAAACTAACTTAGTTTTGGCCAAATTTAGTTTGAATGTATTCAGGACCTCAAGGCACTGAAAAAGTGTAAGTCCAAGATAGTGGATGAAGAAAGAGTCATGTTGATTACAAATTAACTTGAAAAAAACATTTGATCAGATCATGGCCTTCTGTAGTAATTTTTAACAATGACGCTAAATGTGTGTTAATGTTCAGCTTGAATTCACAAAAATGAAATGAACATAAGTAGGCCTGTCACAAACTTTTTGATCGCATTTCTTTGATCCAATTGCATTTGCTGTGCGGTAGGGAGAAGCAGAGGAGTCATAAGCTGACAGGGAGTCATATTTCAGCACCACATCGATCCCGCTCCAAATGATACCAGACAGGCTCAGCACGATTGCTTGTGTTAAATTCAAAAAGCAAAAGTTTCAAGAGTTACCTTCGTCGAAAAACACTCCAGTTTTACTGTGACTTAACATTCATGTCATGCCAAACATTCTTGGTTCTTAGAGTTTCACACACATCTAGGCTCAGCAAGAGTTGAGTCACTTATTTTAGTTCTGCTATAGTTAACTAAAACTAAAAAAAAAAAACAGCATCAGACAGTGAGAGTTCAGGGAAAGCAGTGGAGATCAAGATATACTTGTATTTTGTGAGCTAATGGAACTGTACTGACACAGGGTAATAAAATGTGACCTGCTGTGTGTGCGGTCGGTGTGGAGGAGATATTTTCTCCCGGGGGAGAGCAGAAGAGGGGTGGCACTGTGATTTAAGATTACAGCCGGAAACGGACGTTCACCGCAAGATTAATAGCAGGATTTTCTAAGAGCGAGAGCCTGTCGCCCTGTAATATCTCTCGTCCTCTCGCTGATTTCTGCTTCTCCTCCCTGCTGCCGGGTTGTTATATCTCTCTTTTCTCCTCATTTCCGTCTTTCTAAAGCTCCCTTTAGGGACATTTATGGAATTCTACCGTTACCGTATACAGGAAATTAGCAGGGAATGCCCTGGAGGAAAGAGTATTTGTGGTCTGTTTTATGCTGTTAATGCAGTTTGGGGAAATTAGAGCGATGCTCTGCTGGGGTTTTGAACATATTTGTCTTCTCTTGGGTCATATCACTGAGTTTCAGTCTAAGAAGAAGCCTCGTAAGAGCCGTTTCAGAAGTTACAGTTGCCAGGGATGCAGACACAACATGTACACCCCATATCTAGTGCTGTTTGCTCACACGGGAACAACTGTTACTGTGCTGTGAACGGTGCTACAGAGCTTCCTCTGTAAATGTCAGCTTGTGGCTACAGTTAATGCTTCTTTCATGCTTTAATTATTTTTGCTGTCAGTTTTATTTTATCTTGACAGAAAAGCACAAACACAAATTGGTTCAATATATCTCTATCAGGAGATTCTCTGCCAAAACTGGAATTTTTAATAATGGAATATCGGCTCAGATCTCTCAAAACTCTGCAGTTCCACTCGCTTTCATAAACTGTTCATTCATATAGAGATATTGCATGCAACAGAATAAAGGGCACTGGTTTCTTACTGGCCCACGTCAAAAGAGTTCACGCTAAAGTCTCTCTGGATATGGCTGGGGTCCCTCCTTCCATATTAGACTATGGGAATTTTTCTAATAAAACAATTAACTCAAATTTAATTCCAGAAATAACTATTGACCTTAAGCTGCTTGCACTGCACAGCTTAATGCACAGATCCAAATTTTTGACCATATCCAATTTTTTTCTGTTTATATTTACTTAAGACGTGACTTGTATCCGATATCTGTGTTTACATTATTCTTTTCCCAAACTAGAATGATTCTATTTGTGGTCACTTTCAGCAACACATTTGACCCTCGAGTTTTAAATAGCGGTATATAAAAAGGATTTCTATAATTCACTAATCAGTTGATGGAGTTTTAGGACTATTTAGGACTGTGATTATCAAGGACTTGTGTTATGTGTATGTACTCTAGCAAAGATTTTTTCAGGTGGATGTTTGCTTGTAAAACGGGGAGCGTGTGTATTTTTCTGGCTGAAGAACAGATGTGATGAGTTACTGAAGAGGAGAGGGTTATGTGCAGAAACACTCCAACACTTTTGTCCCTCTTCATCAGAATATTCAGTCAGAGAAAGAAGCGCTGAAGGAGGGGAGAGAGAAGACGCCAAAGTACCAGCGCACAGAAGACGGCTTTGTCAGAATAGGTGAGCCGAAACATACACTGGCACCTGCTGTGAAGTACATACTAAATATAGCAGCATGATTCAGCCCATAAACCACATTCATGCTCGTATGAAGCATGCGCTGGCCTAATAAAATAAAGCCATTTGTTTTCTCTGAAATAAACAATGATTCAGAATTTTTGATGCACAGATTGAGTGGTTCTGAATGACTGTATTTTTTTTTTTCCTGATGGTATAGTTTTTTTTCTATAGGTATAGTCTTGTTTCACCGTCTTTAACCCATTTTGTGATATATCATATGGCCCTTAAAACGGACTCCACAGTGACATGCTCCTGAGAGAGCGCCACTTCTGAAGCTGTTACATGAGAACATAAACAAGGAGAATTCAACTCGTGGAAAAGAGATTTGTGTGAAACATTCAATGATTTCTGCCATTCTCTCTTACGTTCTTGAGCTCACACATCAAATCCAAGGGGGAAATCCTACATAAGCTTTATTTTGAAATGTCTAAAGTCTTTTTGTGGGTGCAGTATCTTCTGTTTTCTCATTATTATGTAGGAATGTCTGTTTGATTACTGTAGGGTTTATTGAAGCCCGTCGCTCATGACAGAGCGTTAGATATCCCCTCAGTCATTAATATACTGAATATAATACAGACAGATGGTTTTGAGCACTGCAGGAACATGGGCAAGCAAAAAAATACATATAAATCCTTTAAAATATTTATCATTCAAAAATTTCAAATGACGTTTTGTCCTTCTCTACTGTATGTTGTTTTGTTTGTAGTTTAATGCGTTCCACACAAAAACATAAATTACAGCACTTGCTCACAATGAGAGCGATAACCTGTTAATGGATTGTTTTTCTACTGAATTGATTCAAATATGAAGATTTGGCACGGTCTGCCTCAGCCTTCTATTCCCCACATCTCAAAAGACTTGTTATCCAAATGTTTATGAAGAGCTTGTCCACAGAGCTAGAGATGAAGCGTGCAGCCTCTCACAGTGTGTGTTGATGCCGTCCCTCAGGGAAGTTTGACAACGGGATCGCGGAGGGGGAGGTGGATGCTTCCTTCGGCCCGCTGGAGGCTCTGCGGCTCTCAGTACGGACTGACTCTCCTGTGTGGGTCATTCTCAGCGAGGTACAGCACAACACAACCGCTCACCATCTGTTCCTCACTCACATGGACTTTACCTAGTAACCAACCTACTACCTACATACTGTGTGCGTGCGTGCGTGCGTGTGTGTAAGTGTATATATATGTGTGTGCGTGTGTGTATGTGTGTGTGTGTGTGCGTGTGCGTGTGTGTACTGGTTTATATATCCTGGTGGGGACTTAAACCTGAATACACACAGACTCATGGGGACTCGTGTCACGGTGGGGACCTAAATTGTGGTCCCCTGTGTGTGTGTGTGTGTATTTAACATTATAATTACATTTTTAATAATAACAATTATTATTTTGTTGCTTATTTTACCAGATAATTTTGTTAAAAAGGTAAAATATATATATATATATATTACAAATATATATGAAACTGTATTTTAATTTATATTTTAATTATTAATGTATAACTTATATGCAATATACACTAGAGTTCAAAAGTTTGGGTTGATAAGATTTTAAATTTTTGAAAGATGTCTCTTGTGCTCCTCCAAGGTTGCATTTATTTGATTGAAAATACAGTAAAAACAGTAATATTGTGAAATATTATTTTTATTACAATTTAAAACAACTGTTTTCTGTTTGAATATGTTGGCAAAGCAGAATTTTTAGCAGCCATTGCCTCACGACCCTTCAGAAATCATTGTAATATGCTGATTTGCTGCTTAAGAAACATTTCTTATTATTGTCAAAACATTTTTGTGTATACACATTAATGTGCAAAAGTCTTCACCAGAAAAAATGGTTTTAAGTCCGTTTAAGATCTCTGTGTGGAGCACTGGCTCCTTGCGCATACAAAAGTCTCACTGCATTATTACAATTAATGGCAAAAGGAATGTTTGGAAATGTAATCTGATATTTCCTACTGACACACTACAGCAAAACATAGAAATAACGCGCTTTTTGTTGTTGTTGTAAATACTAAAAGCCTGACACTTGCGCAGTACTGTATATGATGTCATTACAGATCATTACAGTTAAGCAACTTCTTGTCAGTTCCAACTTCTCTCTCGACAGATTTTTATCAAGAAAGCAGAGTGACTGGTGCTCAGCAATACCTCATGACTTCACCGGGTCTCTGCTGCAGGATGGAGTCTGCTCAGCACCTCCACATGAGCCCCTCACGCGAGTTTCTTTAGCTTGGTCCAATAGCGCCAACTGCTGGCGGCAAGCTGTTCTAGCAGGTAGAGAATGCCAAGCGATGGCACTCAAAGACGTACAGCTCGTGCTGCCGGACGCGCCGCAGACGACTGAAGACGCTGTATTTTGTAAACTGTATTTATATGTATATATATATATGCTCATGGTTGAGTTTATGTAACTACACTGGTCTGTTGTCAAGGGCTTCCTGAGCGGTCTCTCGCCCGTTTCACGAAACACTTTGACATTCAACAAATGCTGCTTTTGGAACGGAAGACTCTTCATTTCCTAATCGACATTCGATTTTCAAAGTTGAATTTCTGTCGTTAATTAGTTGACAAATGATTCTGTTTAGGCTACTCCAAATGGTGTGTATTTATTGTATTTATTATGATACATTAAGAGTACACCGGCCGTGCTAGATATGTGTTTGTTCGTGCACAGGCCTAGCGTGTGTTTCCAAAGTCAGTCCAAAAGATGCGCTATACTGAAAGAGCAACGTTTATTGTAACTAGAGTGTATGCTGCAAAAATGTTTCTTCTAAAAACCGAAATCGCTGGACTTTTCTTGATATAATTAAAATGAAAGCAATCACAACAAACAAGAGGGAAGCCTTCTGAGCATTTTTTTTTTTACATTTATTATTAATACCATTTTTTACTTTCCAATCAGACATATTATTTCTTGCAATATGTTGTTTTTCCTCTTCCTGCCTTAATGTGACGCAGTAGTGTGCTGATGTGGCCGCATTTTCAGATAGAGTTAAACAGAAACAGACCTCTGGGTCTCTATATAATAATATAGAGAGACCAAAATATGTCTGGCTTGAAATCTGTACAGCTCAGTGTCAATCAGTGCGCTGGTATGCTCAGTTTGCTCTCTGATAATAGAAATAATATTTATCAGATGCTACACAAATTTGTCAAGGGTTCTGATATTTTTTCATGCCTTAAAATGATTCACTATATCGTAATATAACACTGATGGTTATAGGTAAAGTGAGCGATCAGCATGTTTGACAAGATCTTGAGCTACAGAGCAAAGTTATCTTCAAGGAAAGAAGGAAAGAAAAAGAGAAAGCATGTGCTGTAAGATAACACCATCTGACCTACAACAACGCTGATGTTGTTTTAGAGGAGAGTCACTTCCCCGCGGACAGGTCGAGGAGAAATACAGCGCCACCGTCTTTCACTGTCCCTGCCCTGTTTTCTCTTGATTAGCCCATTTGATCCATGAACTCAATTGAAAATGTAATGCTGCTGCCAAACATTTTGAATAAAGACCAAGTCCAAACTTGACTACAGTGTTTATATGTTGCTATGGTTGCAAAGTATTGTTTTTATACTATCATCAATGTTTTGAGCATGATTATAAATCTAGAAACAAAAGAAATATCTGTCTATTATAATCTTCTCTTATGGCAGCTTTGTATTTATGGAAGTCAAATCACTTGTAGCTGTCATTATTGCCATGCTGATTTATAACAGGTGCCTTTGATTCTGACCCTCCCAATTTCTGAATAATATCTTACTCTATCCGGTTAATAAATGCATCAATCTGTAGGATCCCCAACATTATTTATAAGGTCATGAAGACCCCTTGGGCGTCTTTATTAGTGAGTTTGATATAAACCTGGTTAACAGGTTAACCAGCCACTGACAGCTGCTCTACCCGTCTCACTGCCCTGGAGCCGGTCATCTGATGTAAATGAGACAATGGCCACCTGAAAAACAAACAAGATGAGGGACTTTTGGGGTCTGCCCTAAACACTAAATACAGGAATTCAGTTTCACTCGCATGACAATAACCAGCAATAAAGAATCTATTCACAGTCTCACACTAAAGGATGGTAAATTAAATGGGCAAATCAGCTTGAAGGAGAACAGATGGAAATATATGTGTGCTGTCAAGGACCCTTAAAGGGATGAAGATGAAGATTTTACATCATTTGACATTACTTACTGTATGACACCAAAACTGTTTGGATAACAATATTCTTCTGAATTTTCATTTTTGTGTGAATTATCCCTTTAACAATGAAGAAAACGTTGTGTTTGCTTGTGAAGTTAATGCTAGGTTAATATCTGTCATAATGCCGCAATGTAGCATGATGTCACGATTCCTAATGTCTCTAAATGTACACATTTACCAGAATTTGTGTAACCAAAAAAAAAAAGATTTTTGGTGATTTTGTAAAAAAAAAAAACAAGGTATCTTGGTATTATATGTGTCTACAAATCTAATTGTATTATTTTCAAACATTTAGACAGAAGCATTCATGACAACAATTTTCATCAAATGTTTGTCCAAACTTTTTACTGCTATAAAATCTAAAGCATTTAATTTATACCACTTTGGCATGTAAAATAAAAAGTAGGAATGTGATTGCTTCCCAAGTATTCAAGGCTGTGTTCGGAATGGCACACTAGCTTACTGCTTACTGCCCGGTACACAGTGCATACTGCCTACTATTTTTTTAAGAATAGTGTGTGAAACAGTATAAGTAACAAATAATGTTTCAGAGTAGTGTCGTCACATGAAAATGAACATTAAACACTGAACATTAATTCAGCACAGCTGTTGAGGCTGTTACCTTACAAATAAATCTGCAAACCATTCTTTTTTACAAAGGCTTGCTAATAAGGGTTCATACTAGTAAACAATGCTATATTGCCCAATTTAACTCATTTCATAATTAATTAACTTTACATACTGAACAAAACTGAATCGACACTGAGCTGTCTTTAACTGAACAATGATATTACTTTCTTTTTGGCAGTTACACTGGAAAAAGCGATATATTCTAGTTACACCAAGTGCAAATAATGATACATTCTGTTTAAAATAGGCTAGCAGTATTTTCTTAAGCAATAGGTTGTGTAAATAGTAGTTAGGTGGCAGATATTTATACTTCAGTACTGTAGTACATTATAAAACAGTATCCAATAACATATTGCGTGTAAATTATCATATTTATTAAAATTATTAAAGCCCACCTAGTCCCTACACCTACTGCTAACCATACCCAATAAACACTGTATTATTAATGAGGCGTTTTATTTCCAATTTTCAAATATTTTATTTTTATAGAAAATAAATGCCTTTCCGATTTGATATGTGATGGGAAAAGGAGAAGGAGTTTGACAAAATGCGGATTCGAACTCGGGTCGAATCGTTTAGGGTTTTACGCCACAAACACTTCAGACAAACACACGCCTCTTTTGCAGTGCTGTTTATCGCAGTCAGGCATTGGTGGGCGGAGTTAATGAAAATAGTCTCTGCCAATAAATCAGGCTATGTGCACTTAGAGTAAATATACACTGCTTTACAGCGGCATTGAATTCTGTTTGCATAATTGAATTTTTTTACATTTATATATTATATGTTATTTATATATTATATTATTGCAATATTACTATTATATTATTTAATATCTTTGAAACAATCTGTACTGCATAAACCGCTATAGAGATAAAAGTGACGTCATTTTCGGAAACGTAGAGATTAACTCTTTCCCGCCAAACACGGAATTTTCCGGGTTTCCGCGTTCTCTCTGTTATACGCTCGGGGGCGCTATTAGCATCTCCTGAATGAGTCTAGAACGTGCCGATCAAAAACACATGCGAGGAAGACGCAGAAACCAGCTATCTCGTATGTAATGTATGCATATGCATATGAAAAACAATGCGATCATCAACAATAAACAGCATATAAATGAAAACTGCCTAATAATGTTATGAGTGAAAAGTCGATCCCGGAAGTGGCAAAGGACTGTGCAAGCTTTGGGGGTGTTGATGGAAGCGATCTACTGCATCTTTGCTTTGATCATCCTACTGAATATGATCCAGATGTAGCCTAGTATTTAATAAAAACGCGATTTTTTTTTTTCGCGAAAATGTGGCTTTTTTTTAATTTTTATAAAACTTAACTACATTCGAGTGTTGATTTAAAAAAAAGAATGCTTGAAGCTAGAATAAAACGGTTTTGTTGTTGTTGTTGTTGTTTAAAAGTAGAGGCTTTGTTCTTTATTTTGATGTTCAGATATTAATAAAACAAAATATTCTGGGGGTCACGAAATTTTAGTGAAAATCATCAAAAATGCTGGCGGTGAACGAGTTAAGGTATGTCTTACTAACGATATTGTTTTTAGATACGCTGCAATATTGTAGTTTACAGTAACATGTACATATGAAGGTGTTTATAATTACTATTTCCCCGCCTCCAGTTCACTCACGCATTTGAAGATGAAACAACAAGTGGATCGTCTTCAGATGCATACATCAGATTTCAGCAAGTGTAGCAGGTAATCCTGGAATTCCATGCATACAGAAAATGCACATACCATTCACAGTATACACACAGCATACTGCAATATAGTAGGAGCAGTATGGTAGTATGCCATTCCGAACACAGCTTCTGTACTGATTTCAGTGTACTTGAGTTATATTTAGCAGATTCTGGCAAATATAGTAGGTCATCCGTTTATTCCATGCATACAGAAAGGTTGCATACTACGCACAGTATACATACTGGATACTGCAGAAATAGTAAGAGTAGTATGATAGTATGGCATTTCGGACACAGCACAAGTATCCGTCATCTTTCGCTTCTACCCTGATGTGTCCAATAAGCGTCTATTTCCGTGTCCTCGACGGCCAATCAGGGGTGTCCACGAGGTGCAGGTCGGAGGCGGAGACCACAGTCTATGACAGACATGAAATCTGGACAATCATCATCTCGCATTGTCCAAGAGGCGTGTCTACGCTGAATGCAGTAGCCAATCGGATGCGCGGAGAAGGCGGAGCCTCTTTTTCTGGATGTATCGCGTATAAGCGCACGTGACGCGCTGGAGTCGCAGGCGGAGTGCTGCATCAGTGAGCGGGGGTGAGTACGCTAAATCTGCTAATATGAGCTTTATTAGACCTATGAGCCATTCAGTTTATGTGCAATACGGCTTGCCGATGTATTATTGTCAGAAAGCGGGAATATATGGTTCAGCCAGAGAGTAAAACTAGAATATGCGCGTAGAGCTAAAGGCCAGTTGGTCAGCTAGCTGCGTGAGCTAAGCTAAGCTAACTGATACAGGTGTCACATCAGTAAAATCAGCCGTATAATCAAGACTTATCACAGAAACCCGCCTCATGTTATTGCCCGTGTGATTTTCTTGTCAGCGGAGTGAGGTGAAAGCTGCAGTGGGCTTATCTAATGTTGGGGGTGGGCAGAGCTGCTGAGAGAGATGTGCGAAGTAACTGAAGGAAGCTAACGGTAGTCAAACATTGATGTACCTTGTTTCAAGTGGGGCATGTCTCTGCACATTAAAATGATTACGTACATTTATGTAAGATTTAATTCATTTTTTTTCTTGAACATTATTCGTTTGTGTTTAAAATATGCATTTATATGTAAAGTTAGATGGTAGGTGTTTCTACTATTAAATACATAGTCAGTGCACATAGATATGCGCATGGTCAAATATCACTCAACCTAATCTTTTGCTTTCAGTCGGAGTTCATAAATGGAGGTGTGTGGGATAGCATGCATGGCTGTGTGGGGGATATAATGCGGAAAAGCCAAACCGGCTAAACTAGGGTGCAGCACATGTCAGTTGAACCGTCATTTCCGCCCTTTTAGAGGAAAGACAGAGGTCACGAGAGAGAGACTGGTATTTGCATGGGCCAGAAACTTAAATGAGCTGTAGTCAGATTAAAACAAAGTAGCACTTAGGATAAGACTTCCTATTTCCTTATATTAAGGAAATCATGCGGCTCATCCCAGCAAGAAAATGATCGTCCTGACCCTCTTGTGGTTTGGTAACATGTAGCTAGGTGTTTTCAGATTCTGGCACTTTGAATGTAGAGCTCAACTTCGACCTTTACGTATAACCAAAAGATCCCTTTTCTGGTGTTAACTCTTGTCAAGACGTTTAACGCTTTTATAACACTGTCATTCAAGTTCCTCGTTGTTGATGGCTATGAACTTGGTCATTTGAATTATCTACGCAGTTTTATCAGTTCACTTTTATGGCCTGTGTCTTGCTCAGAGTCACGCTTCACTGGTGCACTCTGGGAAGGGTGTGTGTAGAAGGTCTGAGGTACCTTCCCCCATCGTCTCAAGCCCAGATCTGTGGCACTCGAGCGTAAAGAGGCTTAACCATGTTGTTCTGGAAGTCTATGCATTCAGTATTGTGTGCTGAATTGAACGAACCCCCGGTTAGGCCATGCCGGGACCACCACATGTGGCTTAATCTCATGGAAGGCTGACATAATGAGCGCCTGCTCTGGACAATCATTCAACCAGCACTTTGAGCTGTATAAACAACAAATATAACATGCAACCGACCTGTTGCAGAATAACCTGCAATATGAGGATCAAGTCTTGTATCAGCCTGAAGGTGTTTATAATGCAAGAACTGGCTGGCTGTGCATGGCTGTCATTGTAATGATAATTATCTGAAATGTTGTTATAGGGCATCTGCATATGTTTTTATTAACACCAGAGAGAAGTCTATCATTTCCCTGGAAGATCCAGTTATGATATTTTGATTTAAAAATTACAACGTCCAAAAAACAAAACAATTAAACCTATGCGTGGATGAATTGTTCCCAATAACTTCTATAACATACATTTAGAAAATAGTGAATTTTCATTTCATGCCGAAATGAAAATATTTTAACACACAAAAACACTTTTTGAGTTTAACGACGTAAACGAATCATTCAGAGTTAAGCTAATAGATTGTTTTGAATTGATTCAGTTTGAGCTCATTAAAGGACATGAATTGTGCTTGGCAACACTAACAGCGTTTTTACTGCAGAAATTACGATTTTAGACACCGTTAACATCTTATACTTGCAAGTCGTGGAAAAAGGAAGGAGAGCTAAACTAGTCTAACGACAGGATCTTTAGGAAACTTAATGGCCTTATAAAACCATGAAAATTGTTATATTCACAGTGTTGCTTTCACTTAAATCAGTAAAATCATATTACATTATATATTGTGCATAATCAGTGTCACCTTTTACAACATACTAAATAAGTGGACTTGAAATATGAGTTTGAATTATTTTGTCATGTGAAAAGGAAAGGCTTGAAACTAGCACAGCTCTGTAGGAAAGTGTTGTATACACTTCAGATAGGTTTGCATATTAGTCATTTTGCAAACCTGTCTGACCACAGGACGCTGCAGTGACCAGAGAAGACTGGCTGATCAGAGCCGCTGATATGTATGGGTCAGTCGGAGCCCGTGGGCTTCATCAGCGTGTGCTGTGGCGGCTCTGATGGATCAGTCGTATTTAATCAGCAGAGCAGATCTCTGCTCAAACTGGATTTGAAGCAGCTCACTGTCAGTTAGCACTGCAGTGTTAAATGTCTTCCTCTTTCAGTCCCGATTGTTTGTTTTATAGGGGGCAGGATGGAGTCTGTCCAGTCCAGAGCTAATGAATCTGCTTTGTGCATACAGGAACCGCTAGACCCCCTCTAGTGAAACTTCATAGAAATTAGTCTGTTCTGTAGCGATGGTTGGTATTGCAGTCTAATTAATGGGCTGATATTGTCTGAAAAGTCTGTCTGCTTGAACGATTGACAGAAGTGTTAGTTCCCACTTGTGTGTGTGTTTTTTTTTTTTGCTTCAAAATCTGCTGGAGACTTGTCAATTTCAGGCATATTAGTTCAAAGAAGAATGTGAATTTTGAGTAAATATTGTATGAAATTAGTGTTAATTTAATTACTTTTCTCAGTCCAAAAATCTTGGAGCACCTTCAAAAGTTGTGATTTTTTTAAAAGTAATGTTTTAGAATAAAAACAAAATTGACAATTTTTTTTTTTTTTTTTTGCTTTTATTTCTAGTGCACTAATCATATTAAAGACTTGTTTGAGAAAGAAAACTGCTGTAGCATTTGACTTTTTCATTCAAATAGCATATTGGTCTGAAAGCAGGCTGTTGCTCAAACAGTGTTTCAGTCTTTCTCGAAGGGGAAACAGTGAGTTTTACTGTTAGTGTTGATTAACCTGTTTTCATTTCCACAACAGTTTTATTTTTAGGCATAAATAATGCTTGTGTTAACTTAATTTTTTTTAATGTTAAATCAAACAGTGGTGGTCTTCACTTAGCAAGTGTTTAGATGCTTTTGCGTGAGTCTGTGAGTCTCTGCATATTTAATTTTGCTGATGTCTTGTGTTGCTTTAGCTCGGATGCTGATGTTAACCTCTGATTAGCTTTAATAGAGCTGATGATGGAGTGCTTGCGTTATGTGTTTGTAATCTCTCTCTACCCCCACACATGATCATTAGTTCAGTGAGCAACAGATGGGTCAGGAGTGTATCCTGTGACCCCCAGCCTCACAACAATACTCTCTCTCTGTCTCTGTCTCTGTGTCTCTCTCTCTCTCTCTCTCTCTCTCTCTCTCTCTCACACACACACATTCCACCCTGTGTAGCCCCAGGGATCCTCAATACTAGCGTCGAGTTGGTCTGGTCTCCGTGCAGTACTAAGTTGATTTGTTTGCATTTATAGTTTAGATATTAATGATTTATGGCAGATATCTCTAGAGTTATTGATTTAGATGGTAACAATATTGTATATATTGTTGAATATAAATGTAATTCGAAAAATGTTTTTTTTACATTTAGTTTTACGTTTTTTAAACCGACACCCTTGTTTAGGTGGGTATGAGATGCAAATATGGTCTGATTAATTTGTCTGGTTGATATATTACTAGTTAGATCTAGGGTTACACGGTTACTCAAAAAAAAAAAACTGACATCACAAATTCAGTGAAACATATATGCAGTCAAAGACTATAGAATAACCAAGGCGTGTCACTCGTATAGTTTTGAATGGGGAAAAAATGCAACGCTCAATATGGCCGCTCCATCGAAGGAAGCCCCGCCTTCTGAGTAAAAGAGCCAATCACTAATCGGTAAAGTCATCGCGTCACTGCAGCTGCCGTTAGAAGCATAGATATATATACGTATACGTAGATGCCTCATTAGCGACTGTTTCTACGGGCTGCTATACGTAAGCCGTCCGCCAAATTGAAGGGTCAACTTGACGTCATAATCAAAGAGTATCTTTGGTTCCACCCCTCTCTCGTATTCTCACCTGTGAAAGGTTATCCCGTTTCTTCGGGAATTTAAATCCCGGCGGTTTTTACATCCATCGGCTGTGCAGGATTGTGGCATCTTCGAATATTCATTATTATGGTATATGACGTCAAGTTAACTGTTGCAAGATGACAGAGGTGTCTACATGCTTGGAGCTGTTGGATGAGGCATCTACCTATACATATCTATGGTTAGAAGTCCCGGTTGCTGTAGAAACGGTCAGGTTAGATGTGCGCACTGGCTGGTCTAGCCTGAAAAATAAGCTTTTTAACGCCATTTGAGCAAAAGAAACAACATTTATATGACTGAGTTGTCAGATTTCATTGGTGATTTCAAATATGAAATTTAATCATAAGGTTGGTGAACAGTTTTGGAGAATCTGATGTTTCTCCATTCAAAAAGATAGGAGCTGCACTTGCATGCCCGAGAGGTGTTTCAAAGATGGCTGCCGAGTGCAGTGACTTGCCTTAAATAGACTTTGATGCGGTGTGTGTTTCGGAGTGAAGCATGGCATTGTGTTCTTATACACATGAGCAGCTCCTGATACAGTGTTTTCAGTTTCTCAGAGTGGCTCAGTTCACAGTAAAAATCTGCTCCTCACAAACTCTTTGCATCTGCTCTGAGTTTGGGTCACTAAAAACATGCATTCGAAACGTGCTAACCATCTTCTCAAATTCATAATGAGAAATGCTTAATTTATTTTTACAACAAAATAGAAGCTTCAGTGGCGTCCTATGGTTTTCTGCCTAATTTTGAATCACAATTGCAATATTTTTTAATCAGTTAAATTTTAATCCTCAAACCGTGCAGCCCTAGTTCATGTGGCTTGTTTGCAAGGTTGGTCAAGTCTTGTCGTTTGTGTGTACTCCAGTGAAAGTCGTTTTTGTTTTGTTTTGGCTGCCATGGTGACGTGTTGCTATCAGACGCTGTTGGCACCACTGCATCAGTAATCCTGAGTGTGTTATGCTCATTAGCACAACAGTCTGTGGGGTACACCGCCTGTGTGTGTTTAAACACGACCGTGTTGCCCGTTTAATGCTTTTTGCAATGTTTATTGATACCCCTGAGGAATGATCTGACAGCGCTGTAAAGCTCCGCTCTTCAAGCGAATGACAGTAATCACACGCTCACACTAAAGAGAGAAAGCAAGGGTTTGTGGGTCATGTAATGGGATGAAATTGAGGTGGTCATTAGAGTATTTATATTTGCTTCTGCTGGCTCACTCCAAATGATACTTCAGTTGAAACAACCCTCTACATTGCGAGTAAATCACTCACATATGCGACTAAATCTTACTCTGGGCGACTAAATAACGTCTAACATTAGCCATTGGCTAATAAATTCTTAGATTTTACTCGCCAGTATGTGTGTGAGAGGC